ACATATTTGTGTTTTAAGCTAATTGTTATTACAAAAGAGTCAAGAAGTTAAAAAATTAAAGTTTATAAAGTAAAAAAAGGTATAGTAAGCTGTTAATTATTGAAGAAAAATACTTTTTTTTTTTTTTGAAACGGAGTCTTGCTCTGTCGCCTAGGCTGGAAGTGCAGTGGTGTGATCTCGGCTCACTACAACCTCCAACTCCTGGGTTTAAGCAATATCCCTGCATTAGCCTCCCAAGTAGCTGGGATTACAGGAGCACGCCACCATGTCTGACTAATCTGTTTGTATTTTTGGTAGAGATGGGCTTTCATCATGTTGGTCAGACTGGTCTCTAATTCCTGACCTTGTGATTTGCCTGCCTCTGCCTCCCAAAGTGCTGGGATTATAGGCATGAGCCACCGTGCCTGGCTAAAAGATACTTTTTAATACGTGTAGTGTAGCCTATGTGTACAATGCTTATGACATCTATAGTAGTGCACAGTAATGTCCCAGGCCTTCAAAGACACTCACTGACTCATCCAGAGCAACTTCCAGACCTTCAAGCTCCATTCATGGTTAAGTGCCTTATACAGGTATACCATCTTTTATTTTTCATACCATATTTTTACTGCATCTTTTCTATGTTCAGATAGATTTAGATATGCAGATACTGACCACCGTTACCACTGCCCACAGTAGTCAGTGCAGTGACACGCTGTCCAGGTCTGTAGCCTAGAAGCAAGAGGCTGTATCATCTAGCCTAGGTCTACATTAGGCAATACCATCTAGGTTTGAGTAAGTCACTCTATGATGTTCCCCCAATGATGAAATTACCTAAGGACACACTTCTCAGAATGTATCCCTATTGTTAAGCAACACAAGTCTGTATGTGTACATACATACATACATACATACATTAAATTCATAACTCATTGCAGGTAGATATCCCATTTCACAAAACAGAAACAAAAAAAAAAAACAAAAAAACCAGGTTTGGCAAATTAAGAAACTTACTTAAAATCACACAGCAGGTAAGTGGTGAAGCCAGGATTACAACAAAGGTCTGTGTAAACACAACAATGCTCTTAATTTCTCTGAGACCAAGGTTTTATGTTATCAAAATTAGTAATATTGGACTACCCTGTTACTCCCCAGGGAGTCGGTCTGCTGTAACCCAGAACACCACAGGAATTCCAGACCTCAGGAAGCACAGGCATTGTTGCTCCATCAAGCTCAGGTGAGACTCCACAGGCAATTACTTGTTCCAGGTTCTCTTCCAGGGGGTTTTCTAACCTTGCTACCCAGACATTCCTTACACCCTCCCCACCCCCAGGCACGTCACTGTAAATGCTGGTGGCTGGTCTCTCATCTCTTCGCTCCCACCATAAACCATCTCCTAATAGGGTCCAGCAGCAGAATGTTTCCCACTCCGGAGGTGTTTCTGCCCCTGTCTCAGCCTTTTCTGCAGTCTTCCACCAGTTACCATCTGGGTGGAGTCTGCAGCCATGAAACAGGTAGAAGCCTGACAGGAGTTACTGAGTTTACTGGGGTTAGAGCATTTGCTCTCCTATCAGGTGAAGTATTCAGGCTCAGACATAGAACATGGGTTCAAACCATCCCACAGTATTCTGGATGTCTCAATCAATAACTTCAGTATGTCTTTGCATCTCAAACCAATGCCTCTCCATTTCACATTCTGGCAATTTCACTGGCTGCTGTAGGATCAACTAAGATTGTATGTGAAAGCATTTTATGGACAAAGTCATTATTATGGAGACCTAGCCTGGTGTAATGAGTTTGGATTAAAGGCTCTCTTAGTTTTGAATCCTCTTCTTCCATTTAGAAGCAGGGTAAGCTTGGGCAGGGAGCTAAATCTCTTGAGTTCCAACTTCTAGAATTGTTTCAAGCATAGAAGGTGCTCTAAAAAAGACACTGATAGAAGGAATGAATGAATGAAGGAATCTGCCTTATACTTTCTACTCAATAATTGTCTGCCGCAGCTGCCTTACAGCCAGGCTGATAATGAATGAGTAGTAATGAAATGAGTTCGCCTACATAAAACACTAGTCACTGGCCTGCCATTTAGTACAAAATAAATGGTAACTTTTATTCTTAATCCTATTGTAATTAAGTTTGCTAAACCTCAGATATAATAATCACTTTGTCAAATAAAAAGATTTCAAATGCTAATACAGGTTTGCCAGAGAATCAGAAACAAACTTTGTCTTTTACAGCTGGCTCTTTCCCTTTCTACCATGAAATACTTCTAAATGTTATCTCCACTACAAAGTGCAGGAACTTACCGGTACTTTGCTGAATCAAAGGGAAGGAATCAACCTTCAGAGGTCATGTGGCCCATCCACCGGCCTTGAGGCTAAACTATCTTAATCATCTGAGAGAAATGATTATCTCTTCACTTCCAAAGACATCTAGGGATGAAACCTGAATAACCTGTCACAGTAATACCCTCGAACAGGTCTGCCAGAAAGTTCTTGCTTTATGCTTAACCTTAATCTCTCATGAGGCACTCTCAAACCTTTTTCTCTTATTTTATTCTCCACAAAGCTTGAGTACCACCTTCTGTGTAAGAAGACTCAGGAAGACAGATTACTCAGAGGAAGCAATAAGGAAGCATGTGCCCTGGAAGTTTCTGGCAAGACTGATTTAGAGACAGACCGATTGCAACGACTACTATCAAGACAATGAGCTCACACTCACAGAGACCCAAAGACATGCAAATAAAATTGAATATAACACTATCAATAGATATCACTTATCAAATACCTATTATAAGCCATGTATTCTACACAGTTTATCTTTCATCTTTAAAATAAAGTTGCAATAAAGCTATTATGTCTATTTAGTAAATTTAGGTTTAAAAACAATACTTTTCTGCCATTTAAGAAAACAAACTCTAACTACTTCTACTGTGTTTTGTGAAATAATCTTAGTATGAATTTAGGAGTGGCAGAGACCACCTTTTTCATTTGACATCTGTTCAGCAGATATTTACAGAGCACCCACTGTGTTGTTGGGCCTTGGAACCTAGCAGCAAACAAGATTTGGTCTTTGTGATAAATCACATTTAGTCTAGTGTATAAGTCGACAAGTGTCAACAGGGAAATGGCACACGACGATACCGAGAAACCCAGAGTTCTGTAGGAAGTCAGAGGTGGGATACCCGAACCAGTTTTGGGAGACATGGGAAGATTCCTGGAAGAAGAAATGCCTCAATTGACAACTAGAAGAAAAGTTAGACAAAGATGAAGAAAAAAATCATTCTAAGAAGAACAACAGCATTCATTCTGCGTTAGAGCTAATCAGAGACATAAAGTTTAGACACACGACTAGAATGCACGGACTCAGGATAGAAGTCTAGTCACTCTGAATGCCAAGTGTACATCCTTTCAACACCATCTGCTTCTCACTACCATCTAATTAAGCTGTCAATCACTACATTCTCAGAGTAGTAAGAGATATGTTTGGGTACTTAAAAAAAAATCCATGTAATTCAGAATCAAAAGGAGACAATTAGAAGTAAGATAATTCATAATCAACATCTAAGAGAAAAAGCCAGAGAAACTTCTGGGGTGCTGGAAATGTTCTCCTCTTCGTTACATGGGTGTATATATATGTTAACATTCACTGAACTATTTTTTTTTCAGGGAAATAAAAATTTATGCTCTTTGCTGTGTACACATTGTATCTTGGTAAAAGTAAAACATCTTAAAGAAAAATCCCTAATTTATATGTTAAAAGGGAAGAATAAATTGGCATCCGTTGCTGCCTGTTTAACATGCATCTTCACCTTCTTTCTTACCAACAGATGACTGGGGAGTGGGTGCTGGTGATGATGTGTCACTCCTTTTGCAGATGCAGTAGCCAATGAGACAAAAGCAAAATTCACCAAGTGAAGCTTCCAGGACATTTCCTAACAGAAGGTCAACTCACCTAGGAGGCAGGGCTTTCCACTCTTACCCCTTCTTCCTGCCTGCAAGTCAGCTTGGCAGCTGGAAGTATCATACCCACTGTGAATGAGAAGAGCCTTGGGATAGAGGCCAGGGTGAAAGAGTGTGGAAGAGATGGGCAGAGGCAGCCTGGATTCTTAGTGACTAGAGAAAATTGCCACAAGAGCTTGGAGCTTATTACATCCTTGCATGAGAGAAAAATTTAACATCTAACTTGATGGAATTTATGATTAATTCAGAGTTTAACCTAGTCCTAAAAGATAGAGCAGTGCATTCTGAAATAAGACATGTGAGTATCCCTATATTTTTCTGATATAGAGATAGCTAACCTTAATTTCTTATTTTAACAGAAAACAGCAATGTCCTGCTATTCCTTCCTAATAAACAGTTGCTTAAAAGGTTGCAGATGGTTCTACATTACTGAAACAAAAAAATACTATGAATTTTTATTAGATTTCAAAATAAAGGTGAAAAGGAGGACAATGTTTTCCTGATGAGAACCGCCTCAGTTCCCACTGTGCCTATTTCCTCCCCTAGCACACGCAAGTCCACCGCTCCGGGAAGCCTCAGCAGTGCCGGGCATGTGTGTGAGGCCTGTTCAATGCCATATTTACTTTTATAGACTCATGTTTTCATTTTCAAGCAGATTTCTCCATCTTACTGTCATCATTTTAAAAGATGGTATAGAACAGTTAAAAACCAGGCTTTGAAGCCAAACAAACATGTATCAGAAATCAGGCTTCAGCATTTATTCTCTGTCAGCTTAAAGTTAATTCAATTTCTCATCTGTAAAACAGTTTAAAAAAATCTTTCATAAGACTGTTGTCAAGTTTAAATGAAATGTTATATACATACATGAAGGACTGCTGTTGTTAATGACATTAAAGCAGAAGTTCTTTCTAAATCAGTAATTTTCCTCAGAGTCCTTATTTTTGTTGTCATACAATCTATTCAGCAAATTCACTCTTGCCTAAAAAGTAAGGAACTGGAATTGGAGCTGGGTGTGGGCAGTGGAAGCAGTTGCACCAAAGAGGGCAGTGAACGTACATATACTCAACGTCAGTGACCAGTGATAACCTAAGTCGACGTGACATGCTGGCCTGGATCAATGAGTCTCTGCAGTTGGATCTGACAAAGACCGAACAGCTGTGCTCAGGGGCTGCCTATTGTCAGTTTATGGACTTGCTCTTCCCTGGCTCCATTGCCTTGAAGAAAGTGAAATTCCAAGCAAAGCTAGAACACGAGTATATCCAGAACTTCAAAAGACTACAAGCGGGTTTTAAGATGATGGGTGTTGACAGAATAACTCCTCTTGACAAATTAGAAAAAGTTTCAGGACAACTTTGAATTTGTTCAGTGGTTCAACAGGTTTTCGGATGCAAACTATGATGGAAAAGACTATGACCCTGTGGCTGCCAGACAAGGTCAAGAAATTGCAGTGCCTCCCTCCCTCAGTGCTCCCGCTCTGAATAAACCGAAGAATCCTCTCAGTTCCCACAGTGCAGCTCCCCAGAGGCCCATCTCAACACAGAGCTGCTGCGGCTCCTAAGGCTGGCCCTGGCGTGGTATGAAAGAACCCTCATGTGGGCAATGGGGATGACGAGGCAGCTGAGTTGATGCAGCAGCTCAACGTATTGAAATTTAGTGTTGAAGACTTGGAGAAAGAGGGATTTCTACTTTGGAAAGCTATGGAACATTGAATTGATGTGCCAGGAGAATGAGGGGGAAAATGACCCTGTATTGCAGAGGATTGCAGACATTCTGTATGCCACAGATGCAGGCTTTGTGATACCTGATGAAAGGGGCCGATATGAGGAGCAAGAGTATTAACAGCCTGGACCAGCAGAGCAACTTCTGAATTCTTCACTGCAAATCATGTGCTTAACTGTAAAATACTCCCTTTTATTATACTTAGAGGATTCACTGATTTCTTTTCATAAGCAAAAAGTACCTCTTCTTAGAGTGTACTTTGCAGACGTTTCACTCCTTTTCCAACAAGTTTGACTTAGGAGCTTTCACTTTGTAGCAGAGCAGTATCAACATCTAGTTGGTTCACCTGGTAAACAAACAGGATGACCGTGGGGCTCACTGTGCCGATATGAGTCACACTGAGTGCTGGGGGAGGTGTTACGTTATATGCTGAGGTGGCGACCTCAGTGGAGAAATGTAAAGACTGAATTGAATTTTAAGCTAATGTGAAATCAGAGAATGTTGCAACAAATAAATGCCTTAAGAGTATTTAAAATATACTTCCATATTTCAAAATATAAAATGTAACATGACAGGAGATCCTGTGTTTGAATTGTGTCTGGGAAGGAAGGGCCAGACCCTGGAACCTTTGGAGCCTGGGGTCACAGGTCTTACAGGACTGCTTGAATCCTCATAGGCCTAGGCTTTGGTGTACAAGAAACATTTAAAAAGTTGCTCTGTAAAGCCATTTGGTGTCACTGACCAACTGCATTCCCTGCTAAAAAACAAGAGGCGACATTACCTGGATAACAGAGGATGTGTCTCAGCCCTGAAGAGCTCAGTTTTCATTGAGCAGTTCTCTACTTTTCCAGTTATCCCCGAAATTTCTATGTATGATGTTTTTGGGGAAGAGAAGTGTGGCCAGTTTTGTCCTCTAACGACTACTTTTGGGGACTTGCCCACGTCTCTGGGATTTGAAGGGGATTGTAACCCATTTTACCGTCTTTCAGGCTTACATTTACCATGTTTCTCTTCTCTGCTCCCCTTGCCCACTGGGAACTCCTTGAAGTTTGCTGCTTAGAGTTGGAAGTGTAGCAGGCAGGTGATCATGCTGCCAAGTTTTTTTCTGTATCTCTGGCAAAGGGAGTGGTCAGTGAAGGCCATCATTACCTCAAGATCTGCAAGGCTGGGGTGTTTTTAGTATCTGCTGTCCATAGCTCTCCATTGTAATCTGAATACTTTGCCAGTGCACTAATCTCTGGAGATAAAATTCATTAGTGTGTTACTAAATGTTAATTTTCTTTTTCAGAAAATACAGTACCATGTCTGAATTATTAATATTTAAAATATTTCATTCCTTAAATCTCCCTCCTTTGCTTTTCCCACAGCCTATTCAGTTCCTATGTTTGGCAGGATTCTGCAAAAGGTGTCTCACCACTACTGAGATTGTTCAGTTCTGATATATTTGTATTGATTTGTTTCTGGTGGTAGTTTGTCCTAAAATGTATGTAGAAAGCAAGTATTTTATGATAAAATTGTTGTGTAGTACATGCTCTGTGTGGAATTCAGAGGAAAAACCAGACTTAGTGATTAACAATGCCAGAAAATGCAAGTAACCAGCCATTGTTCAAATAACGGTGGTGGGGTTTCTCTTTTGTGGCCTTTAGGCTTTTGTTGCCCTGAAATTCCATTTTATTGGGAACCCATTTTCTACCTGGTCTTTATTGACAGGGATTTTTCTATTTTAGTTAAGCATAAGATTTCATAAGGTTTACTGTGCGGCTTGCTCAAGGTCACACAATAAATGACACGGTAAGGATTCAAATTCAGACATGTCTTTTGACTCAAGCTTCAGTATTTTCACTGTAGTTGATTAATTTCAAATATCAATTAATTTCTCAGAAACACTAACAAGAAAACTAAGATTTCTTATAAGGAAACACAAGAAAACAGATCCTTATGTTTTTTTTCTGGCAAAGGATGACTTATAAAATACTATCAATTATATGTACTGTCACAGACATCACCAGTAATTTTAATGATATTCTTTGCATGAAGCATTGAAACTACATATTAGAATTTTATGGAACCTAACATTGAAAAACCAGGTTGAAATACTGTGGAAATGTAATAAGGAGAACTGTTACCACAGACTGAGGTTCTGGGGAAGGTCTGGAGAGTAGAAAAGAGGTCAGAGATTAGTTACCAAGTGACAGGGAGGCCGGGAAGGCTGCCACAAATGAAGCATGTGGTTATAAGTTCAAAAAATATACAACTTTGGGGAAAGACCAAGATCAAGGTTGGGTTCCTTAAGGCTATTTTTTTGGATTTCTGTTTTTAATTTCCCAAGTCCAACTACACTGAGTTGGTTGAGGCATGGAATTTTTTGGTACTGGATTCCTTGACTCTTCCAACGCCATTAGAAATGGTCTATCAACATGTTATGAGTCAGGTTCCAGTATTTCTCTGCATCACTTGTTAATCTTGCATTTGTTTTTACAGCCAATCCTTCCATCTGCTATACTAAAGTATCTTTTTAAGGGGATTTCTGACAAACACATTTGATATTTAGATTTCAAAGCCATATCTATTACTCTTTAAGAAAACATTGATTGTGAGCTGTAATATTTGCACATGTAAAATAATTATCCCTTTTGATTTTTTTATAGGATTGTCAGCATCTTTCTTTGACACAATGTTAGAGCAGCAGATGGTTTAAAAAGTGTTTCTGGGGAATGTGGTGGCACACTAACTTACATCAATCTTCATATCAAATTATACAGGCTCACTCTTTAAATACGTAGCATTAAAAGAATTTAAACTGTGATAGTTATAGTACTGTATTTAAATCAGTCAAGAAATTGTGATAAGAATACCTACTTTGTTTTAAAATTACTAATGTAAAGTAAAATTCTACCTTTCCACATCTATTCAATAAATATTTATTGAGCACTATGTATGTTCCAGCACTCTGACAGGCACTGGGGTAGGTGAGAGTGAACAGATTTAAAGAACAAACAGATGCTGATCCAAGAATCACTTCAATATAAAATTGCAGTTATGAAGGAAAACTGCTAGGTATTATGAGAGCATGTAATTATACGGGAAAAACCACGTGGGCTGCAGTATGGAGACATGATAGCTCAGGAGTGAAGTGGACGTGGGGCCAGCAGCAGCCAGGCTCCGGGTGCTCCACAAGCAAGGTGTCATTCACTTGGACCAGTGTGGAGGTTATGCGCATGGGGAGCACCTTCACTGATAAAAACCAAACCAAACAAACAAAACTCTGTGGAATCGTGAACCTGATATTAGGGTCCATCACAAAATGCTCTCTGTGGATCTTTCTATGGACACTTTGTGCACCTTCCCTCCTGGGCACTGTAGGCTGCAGCCTCACTGGAAAAGTAGTTACCAGCAACGCACACCAAGTCAATCTCTTCATAGGACCACTGCACATGCTTTTCTGGTGCTCTTTTGCACAAAACGTCCTTTTGGTTTGCCTAGAAGAATGGTCCTCTATTACTGACAACAGTTTACAATATATCCACTAGACAACAACTAAATATCTTAGGTGCTTAAGAAGTGTGTTGATGAACAAAAAAGGAAGATTCCTGCCTTGTAGAGCTTAAATTCTAATAGTGACAGCTGTAAAGTATGCTGGGCACATCAGGCTTCACTAGAAGATGACTTAAGATCTGCAAAAGCTTTCTGATATAAGTGTGTCTCATGTATTCTATCATCCTTAAAGTTACACTTTTCTTTCATTTGAATTCATAATTTCAAGTTCCGAATAGAAAACTTCAAATTTCCCTTTGGAATAAGGTATTTTTGAACAATTTGGCCCACTGCAGGTCTCAATAGTTGTCTGGCAGAACAAATGAATGGAAGATATTACAGAAATGCCAACAATTTATTTTTTACGCATACAAGTATTTTCTTAGCAACTATCTGCTAGGCACTGTGCAAAGTGCTTTACACATATTATCTAATTTATATAGTACTTATGAAGACTAGTTCTCAACCTTTGGCTGCTTATCAGAATTATCTGCAGAGTTTAAAGAATTTATAGACAGCTGAGCTACACCAAGATTCAGATTAAAAAATAGCGGGTGATTTTCTTGGCACTCCCCCCACTTTTTTAAGGCTGCATAGGCGACTCTTCTGTGTAGCCAGAGTTGAAGACCACATCAATTTTCACATTATACTTTCAATGGTACCAGACTTCTTACTGTGTTTCTAATAAAGAAATGTTTAGAACAGATGCAGACTGACATGCTATCAATTCAACTGAAGAACGCACATAGATCACCTTTCTAGTGAGTGCTGCATTAGGTGTTGGTGATATAAACATGAGTACAAAAGGGTCCCTGCCACTGTGGGACTGTTTATGAAAAGAGGATGGATTCTCAACAGCCCAGCAGGTTCTGCTGGAGGACAGAGCAAGCACAGAGCATTGTGAAAACATAGAAGCCTTGGTACTTATAGGACATGGAAGAACGGGATGTGAGGTGAGGAGAATCACAAAGGGTTGTTGGATGCTATAATTACTGATCCAAGAAACTGGTAGCTCCCTTGCAAGCAATCTGGCAAACTGTCCTGTTTGTACCATTTTAGAAATTTCTGAAAACCACAATGTCTTTGAAAGATATATGTGAGAATAACTGAAGAAGCCATGAAGATTTTGATGACAAGGTAGTCTCACAAGTTAGACTTTACATTTTAATAGTAATTGAGACAAGTATAAACAAGCCATAACTGAGAAACTCAGTATCAGGTTACATTACATGAGTGAGGCAGAGAAAGAATTGGGGCCAGATCAGGAAAGGCCTTGCTACCAGGCACTGTGGCTCACACCCGTAATCCCAGCACTTTGGGAGGCTGAGGTGGGCAGGTCGCTTTGAATTCAAAAGTTTGAGTCCAGTTTGGGCAATATGGCAAAACGCTGTCTCTAAAAAAAAGTACAAAAATTAGCTGAGAACACTAGAGAGTAAAGTGACAACAGTACAGTCTTGTGCCTGTGGTCCCAGCTACTCAGGAGGCTGGGGATGGAGAATCACTTGAGCCTAGGAAGTGGAGAGGTTGCAGTCAGTGAAGATCACACCACTGTATACCAGCCTGGGTGACAGATTGATACCCTACCCTGTCTCAATTTAAAAAAAAAAAAAAAAAAAAAAGGGCCTTCCTAAAGTGATGGTTTCTAACAGAAGTAACAGTTTTATATCAATTATTTAATCCACCCTATTTAAACATTACTTGCCAGCACTAGCAATACTGCTATATGTGGTGGGACTGGAAACTGCCAAGGCTGAATGCCACACACCTCCCTTAAGAAATCCCCTTTTTTTGCAAGTTGCCACATATGCTTTACACCCTCTGTAATCAGTTTCCCTGACCCTAAACTTAAAATAATCCAAGGGGAAATCAATTATCTTGGAGAAGCACAAGCAGGACTTCACCGGAGCGGTACTAACATATGGTATGTATATGTATACCTGTATTGTTTTTCCAAAATTCCAAAAATTGGAATGTAAGACATATTTAGCTTCAATGGTTTTAGATAAAGAATTGTGGAACTTTAATGATACCTACTGATAG